AACTCAATATACACAGTACAGTTGTGTCATTGCTTAAATGTTCATGAAGTGGGTGCTTTCTTATCTCCCTCCCCACTTTTTGTCTTGAGACAGAGTGTCATGAAGCCCAGGTTGGCCTAGAACTCATTGTGTAGCCTTGTACTCCTGCTCTTTCTGCCTTGGTTTCCTAAGTTTTGGTATTAAAGATGCGTACTTCCACACCCAGCTTTAGCTTGGCTTTTGTGGCATGAATACAAAGATAATAAAAGCATTAAAAATTTATTTAATTATACAATGTTTACTTGAGCTCAGACCATTAAAATCATTGGATAGTACTTTAAAAATTAATAAAGTTAATTTTAAATAAAATTAATTTTAAATACAAATTAATGTTAAAACTGTAGACTCATTTAAAATTACTGCTATTTAGTTAGAACAATGTCCCTATTATATATAATTTAAAAATGCTGGATAAATTTTAAGTAGTTTCACTATAAGTAAATGATAATTGTTTGGGGGGTATAAGTATGTTTGCTGTATTTGAACATTACACAAAGTAACAGCATATACTAAAGCCTTACATGGTACCTCAGAAATGCAGTATTTTTTTTTTATCAGCTACAATTTAAAGAGTTGATCCTCCAAATTCAAGTGGTAACTGTTTTAACTAGGCTTACTGGTCATTTAAACCTTATTTACTTTTTATTTAATTTATTATTTTTGTTTTGCTTTGTTTTGGTTTTTGGTTTTTTAAGGCAGGGTTTCTCTATGTAGCCATGGCTAGACCTCTCTTTGCTGACAAGGCTGGCCTCAAACTCACAGAGTTCCACCTGCCTTTGCCTTTTGAGTTCTGGAATTAAAGGTGTGTGCCACCATTGCCCAGCCAGTCATTTTAATTTTAGATAGAATCAAAGATCTAAAACCTTACCAAAAGTTTGGGGGCTCGCTAGAAAGCATATTTTCACCTTCTCTCTACTTTCAAGTCTTGCTCCTAGTGGATTTTGTCTAGAATATTAGTGGGCCCAAAGCAACCCTTTTATACAATTTCCTTAGAACGGCTTCCCTGGGCATTCGGGTACATTGCCCACTTTATATATGACTTAGGGGAAAGAAAGGCGTTTACTTCACAGATATGAAACTATCAGATGGAGGTGCTCCTAGCAAGTACCCAAGCTACTGATTGCTGTGAGGTCCCTCCTGCCTACACGCTAGGACAATGGCCATGCTTGGTCTCCATGTGGTTATGAGGATGGAAGGGGAAAAATAGTGCATTTTGGGTATCATGTGTAGAGAATCGAGCCAAACCATCCTCTTTGGGCTAGACAGGGTTTGGGTCAAGGCTTCTCTGCTTCCTGGCTTTGTGACCTCAGATGTATTAGTTGACTTTCTCATATCTGCTGCAGCATCGCTGAAGTGGGAACGATACCACCCTATTGGGATTTGGGGAGAGAGTAAACTTGGAGGTACTTCTTATGTGCCTGGCTCAATGCTGGTGCTTGAAGAGAGTTAGTTTCTTTCCCTTTCAGTTGATAAACACTTCTTTTGAAGATTGCATGCAAAAACATTAAATATCCATTAACTGCATTATTCAAGAAAAGTGAATCTTGAAAAGGCACCTTACTTCAGATCTTTCAGTGCAGCAATAATAACTTCCATTTATCTTTCTTGCAAATCTGTATTTTATGTGTGGCATTGGGTTTATTTATGATGTTTGTGGAAAATTCTCAGTACTGTGAGACTCTGCTGAACATAACCCTCTTTCAGGTTTTATGGAAATGTTAGGTATTGGTGGTGTGATTTGAAGCTCGAGTGACCGAGGCCTAGAACTGTCCTGGAGGTATCACATGTGAGTGGCATCCTCAGAGGTGGATAGATAGTGAGGAAGGATCTAAGACTCGGTTAAGACTGACGTGGTTGGATAGCTCTCACACAGCATAAGGAAAGTGAGGTTTAGCACTAGAAAGAACTCCCCCGCCTATCTCCCTCAAAAACAGAGGAGAGGCTGGGAGATGGCTTAGTTGGCAGAGAGCCTGAGATGCAAGTGTGAGGACCACAGCATCCACATAACGACCAGGTGAGATGGCTTGCATGTGCAATATTTGATGTGCAATATTTGTGTTGAAGAAGGGGAGACAGGTGGATCCCAGAGCTTGCTGGCCTAGACAGTTGGTGATCTCCAGGCTTGCAGAGAGATCTCTTTTCTAAGACAAGCTGGTGAGCGATAGAGGATGACACCCAAGGGTGACCTCTGGCTGCCACACATACATGCACACCTATGTATACGTGTAGCAATGCTCAGTAGATCAGAATGCAGCGCCGGGTTAATAAGTAGTCCTGTCACCCAGCGCTGATTCAAGCCATTGACAGAAAACATCTGTGCACAGCCCATACAGCTGCTGCTAAATTCTGGGGTGCCTGCGTTTATGTCAGAAACCATCGCTAGCTCTACCCTTTATCATGCTTCATATCCTTAGGGGCAAGGAGGACTAAAGACTTAAACAGAGACTGTCTTTACCCTGTCACCTAGTCAGTCGTATTTGCATGCAAAATCTATTCGACAGCTTGTTTTCATACTGCCTGTGAAGTAGGACAGGCATTTTTGCATATTTAAGCAGTTATTTATAAAGGGACAGAAAGAAAAAAAATAAATAACAGAAACTCTATGTAACCCGCCAAGGCTAAATAAAATATTCATTGTGTGGCGATTTATAGAACAGGTCACTTATCTCTGTCCTAGAAAGCTTGACTGATCTCATCAAGCATTCATACTGAAGAGAATAAGGACTTTCCAGTTGTTCCCCAATGTGTGACAACCACTATGTGTCTGAGCCAAGCTTAACGGGCACTGTTGAGGACACAGAAATGTGTCTCATTATTCATGCCTTGCTCAGTTCTAACTTTGTCCAGAATGTGGAGTCTTAGTCTCTCTAAGCAGCTCATGCCTCCGTCACCTCCTCCTTGGAACTCCTAGGTGGAAGGCTTCTTGTTACAGTTCACAGTTGTGGACTGCAGGTACCTGGGATGCATGATAATCAACTCCTTCTGCACCTAGACTGAAGCAGGATGGTAGGACCAGCTCAGGAAGGGCCCCCGAGAGGATTTATCTTCCTCTGCTCATGCTGAAGTGGGGGACAAATTTTAGGGTTATGTTGAGTTGGTGCACAAGCATAAATTTGGGAAGGGGACAATTTTGGAGCTGTAATATGTAGATTGAGGCACTGGGGAGAAGCAGGACCTAAATCAGACCTCGGTGGTGGGCATAGTTTGTGGCAGAGTGTAATCAAAGACACGAGGGAGTGAGGGAGCAGCACCCCAATGACTGGCGACAGTTTCATTGCGGGTCTATGAGGCTGGGTCATCACCGTAGAGGAGGTAGTGGCCATACTGAGACAGAGTATGGGATTCCAGTGGTCACTGAGGAGTCGGTTCAGGCTGATTAATAAAATGAGAACAGGACTGGTGAGGGGGCTCCTCGGGTAATAGGGGCTTCCTGTTAATCCTGATCATGTGAGTTCCTTCAGAAGAACCTGTATGTTGGAAGGAGGGACCTGACTCCCTCAGGCTGTTCTCTGCACTCCATCTGTGCACCGTGGTGCCTGCACACTCCTTCTCCCCAATACAATTTCAGTTCCAATAGTGTAATACAATACTGGTAGATGTGGGTGAGCACCACAATGATACCTAGGGAACTGATGCTATGGCCATGTACTGCATAACAGTGCAGTCAAAAATGGGCCACGTACATGATGGTGGCCCTAGTAAACTTGTTGATATCATAGCAATTTTTGTGTTGGTCCACTTTCTGATGTTTATACATTGAACAGCCATGACCCTGAATCACATGGCTGTCTTTACCAAAGACAGTCATGGGCTGATAATATTAAAGGGACCACCTCATTAAATCCTTATAGCTATGTTACCGGGCGGTGGTGGTGCACACCTTTAATCCCAGTTCTCGAGAGACAGAGGCAGGCTGATCTCTATGAGTTCAAGGACAGCCTGGTCTACAAGAGCTAGTTCCAGGACAGGCTCCAAAGCTACAGAGAAACCCTGTCTCAAAACAAAAATTTCCTTATAGCAAGGGAAGGTCTCACAAGTAAATTAATTTGGCTTAGAGAGTGTAGTAATATGGGCGCGGGGCTGCGTCCCCAACACCCCAGCCACCTGCTAGGCTAGCTTATGCCCCGAAATAACAACACACAAACTGTATTCATTTAATCACTGCTTGGCCCATTCTCTTCTAGGCTAATTATCACATATTAATTTAGCCCATTTCTAATCATCTGTGTGTAGCACCCCAAGGTGCACTTACCGGGGAGATTCTAGCCTAGTCCATCCTGGGTCAGAGCTTCATCCCGGGAGCGGGGCATGGCGTCTCTCTCAGGCGTCTGCTCCCGAGAGCAGAGCGGTCGAGACTCTGACCTCACTTCCTCTTCCTCCCAGCATTCTGTTCTGTTTACTCCACCTACCTATGTCCTAACCAATAAAATGGGACAAGGCAGTTCCTTTATTAGCCAATGACTTTCCTCCATCAAGAGAGGTTGAGGTAAGTATCTAAGATTCTGGTATTAATAAAATGCAGAACCAAGCTTATCTGACCTGGTGCCTGAGTTTTAAATTCCTTTGCTATTGGAAGAAACTCAGTGGAAAGCACTTTAAGAATACAGAAAAGGGTGGATGACAAAGAAACCTATAGCCTGTCCTTCCAGAAATGACCACTTTGGGTGAATGCTCTGGTAGAGATCTATCTGGACACCCAGCAGTATGCTTGAATTTCGTATAATTGAGGCCACCCCTGCCTGTCAGTCTTATTTAAACTTATGTAAAGTTTTATATAAGTACTCTAAATCTTAGATGTTTCTCCCACTTAGAAGTCATCCTCTGATTTTCATGGGTGTATGGTATGCCACTTGAAGCCTGTCCTTTTTTCTGCTGCACCGGCAGTGTCTAGCTCCTCGCAGGTTCTTGAGCAGTACGGCAAATTATCAGATTCTTACTTGTGCTTTCCCCTCTCTTTGCAGCATGCACTCGAAGCTGACAATGCAGGAGTCAGCCCGGTAGGAAACTCTTCCAACAGCAGCAGCCACTGGGACCTCGGAAGTGCCTTTTTCTTTGCTGGAACCGTCATCACGACCATAGGTATCCAACCATTTACTAATATCTTCTCCTCTGCAGACCCTTCTGAGGAGTGTGTAGACAGAATTTGTCTTCTTAAACTGTGGTACCAGATTCTCCCTACCTGGTCCAGTGAACACAGCTGTTTCAGTAAAAACCAGCAGGGTGGGTATTTCCAAATGAAGAGCATTTCAACGGAAGGAACCTAATGCCAAGGCAATGGAGAAGGCACAGCCTGACCAGTTGAACTCAGATTGTTGTGTTCAGATTCCATTGTAAAGATGGCACTTCTTGGTAGAATTCAGACAGTGGGATGAAAATGATCTACAAAGTTGAGTATGGGGGAACAAAACACCCTTTCTCCCTCTTTAGTTTTTTTATTATTCCTGAGAAAATAACTTCCATCTCTTTGTCTGATAGTTTCAGTGCCTACCTCTGGTGTCTTCAATATCAAATTGGTACTGCTACTTCTAGAATTTTCAGTTTTAGGGATTGTTTTTGAGCTTCCCACTGTGCAAGCGGAAGTGTTGGTCTCCTTCCTTCCTGTTCCACTTCCTTGTTTCTGTCTTCCTAGGATAGTTTAACTACATAAAAACCTGGGTATTTGCCTGGAGCAGACCCTTGCACATGCTCTAACAACTTACCCTCATATAAACCATCATTACTGCCTTTCTGCAACAGTGTCAGTCTTATTTTTATGAACCTTTTGTTTTCTGATCCTTAGGTACTGTGAATTTTGTCTTAGCCGTTATTTTATAATAGTATATAATAACCTTGATGTTCTGGTCATTAGCCAGTATGCATAGATCCTGATTATGAGTGATGACATTTCCCTTTCCCATCTTTCTCCACCACACAATTTTAGCTGACACCATCTGTTCAGTGTTTGCCTTAACACGATTAGTGTGGCTTCTAGCATGTGATTTGTCAGCTTTAAGTGATATGTGCATAGACATGGGGCAGAGGAATTGTCTTCTGCAATCAGGATCCCAAGACAGGTCCATTTGGCAAGCTACTTGCAATGGAAGAAGCCATATGGTGCTTTTCGATGGTTTAATTTGAAATCGAAGGTTTCAGATTCAGGGATATTGATGGTATAATTCTTAGAATGAGGCCAAAGGGCTGAAAATCCACAAGGCCAGTGGTATAATTCCTGTTGACTACAGGTCAGAGAGGTTGGGATTCTGATGTCAAAGAGGAGAAGCAAAATGTCTCTGAGTTGTACATGCTTATGTGAGAGAGACAGGCAGAGATAGATAGAGATAGATAGATAGATAGATAGATAGATAGGTAGACATCTTTTCTATGGCTTCCCCCTTTAGTTCTATTATGCCCTCAGCCAATGATCCTGTCCACACTGAGGATGGATCTTCCACACTTAGTCCATCGACTCATATGACAATGCCCTGTGGAAACATCTAGAAACATTTTTTACAGACACATCCGTAATAATGCTTTTCTGAGTAGTCATAATCCAGTCAAGTAAACTAAAATTAACCACCAACTCTCTAATCTAATTAGATGACAAGCTATTTTACATCTGCAATTCTTAAACTCATTAACACTAGCTGTTGTCAGAGTTCCAAGTGTCCATTATACATGTAAGTCTGCACCTAGAAGCCTTTATGACCTCCAAATCAGGTTAAGCCATTGAAGTTCAGAGACTCCCTACACCCAACAGAGAGAGTGTGTGGCCTGGGCCCTCATGTGCTATGAACTTTAGCCAATCCAAGGACATTGTAGTCATCCACCAAGGAAGAATGATGTCATGTTAGAATGTGTTTGACAGTCTGGTTATTAGAATGAAGAAAGGCATCATGCATTTTAAGAGGATTTGTAAAAGAATTAAATTCGAGAAAGTCTTGGCCATTTCAAAAGGTATACTTTGGAAAATGCTCTCAAAATGCCAGTATTGGATCCATGAGATTTTAGGGGATATTACATATAATAGATTGAAAAACCCTATTCATTTCCTTGTATGAAATTGCTAAATCAGAGTTTTGTCTGAGGCATTGACAGGACCCATGCTGGACTCTGAAGTATCGGTATGGCTTTCAGAAAAGCACTAACGGTATTTATTGACATCCACTTAGTGTTCCGACCACCCATCACTCATAATTTTTTTAAATTCATCATTGTCCCAACAACAGTATCTGCAATCTTCCCTTTCCACTCATGAGCCCTAGCTCTGGAGACGAATGATGATATCTATACAAAGCAATTCAGTCTGTGGCCAGAATAATCAGTTCAAAGATGGCCAATGAGAATTTTGCTTGAACTTTAGAGGAAATGGCTTCCTCACTTCCTCCCTGGTGACAAACCCAGAGAAGGAAGAGCCAAGCCACTGCCCCTTACTGTCTTCCCTTGGCAGGTTACTCTGTCTAGACTTGAGCTAACCCTGCTGGGGTAAGGAAAGGGCTAGTGGTAAGTGGATCCTGCTCACGGCCTGTGAGCTCTGAATGGAGCTACTTGCAAAAGTACTAAGAAATATTAAATTTTCTATTTTTCCAGAGTCAGAGGGATTTCCCTTTGTTTAGGTTTAAGCTAGTCTACATTGGATTTTCTATAATCTAGACATTTCTAACCAATGTATACAGACATAAGAGAGTTGATAGAGGGTCCATAAGTATCTTTTGACCCCATGACCAGTGACTGATTCTTCTGGCTACTGTAGCCGCCATCTTTGGGCCACATGATCTTGCTTTAAGTCTTAGGCCGAGCTGCCCTGTTGATGAGCCCCTGGGTTCATGTGTCCTTGTCTTGGCTATTTGAGAGGCTGCTACCTCTGCAGAAAGAGGCTGGCCACTGTGTCTAAGCAGTTGTATATTCCAAATATACACTCCAGTATTTCAAATCACAAAGATGCTGGCTACCAGCAGGCAACCACTACAAAGCAAGGATGAAAAGAAAACCAAACAAAAATATAACCCACCACTCGAAGATTACAGGAGGCTGGGTTCTTGTCCTATGCAACTTTCCCCTTTCTTTCTCTTAACTGAGACATAATGAATTCTAAGTTGAGTACTATTTAGCTGAGTAAAATTTAATCCCAAAGTGTCATAACAAAGCCAGACAGCTAGAGCAGTTAAAATGAAATGGCTTGATGCAATGTAAGTAGGAATGAGGTGAGAAAACAAACTGCCAAAAAAACAAAAAACAAAAAACAAGTACTTATGGTCAGTTCATTTCAAGACTTGCAAAAAGGCTTGCAAGTAATCTCAGGGCTGGTCATTCTTCAGCTGCCCCTGAGAAGTTGCCCACTCTCCCAGAAGTTGGGCAAGTGGAGCAGTTATCCCAGGAAGCTTTATCTCATTAACCGGCAGTTCATATCCTGGTCTGCTGGCTCCAGATCATATAGTTTGCAAGCTAATATTGTTCACGCTTCCCTTATTAGCAGTGTTAGAGCTCTGGGGTTCACTGCAAAGCCCGTCTTCGATGGCCCCCTTAGGCTCACTGTCCATACTGTAGTCACGTGTTGTGGAGGGATTAAGATGTTTCTACTTTTGTGACCCTCTTGACAGCACAGTGCAAACCTTTATGCAGGAAGTAGGTTGTTTCCTTGGGAAAGGCCCAAAGAAGGGAAAAGTCCTTTGCTCTGTCAAAGGGCATAGAACTTTGCAGGGCTCTTCTCATGACTCTCATGAGCCCCATGAAGTTACGTATGTACAAAAGGCCTTTTCTGAAAAGTGACCCTATTACTCAGTATCAATATACTTCTCAAAAGAGCCTTTTGCATGCTGATATATACAGAGATTATGTTTGTATCATTAGCCTTCTGTATTTGTGTTTTCATATCATAGAGTCCACCAATTATGAACTGAAAATATTCAAATGAAAAAATGTATGCACACTGTACTGTTTTTCCATCTCATCATCCCTTCAACAATACAGTCTAACAGCAATTTACATAACATTTACATTGCATTAGCTATTGTAAGTAGTTTAGATTATATGGGAGGAAGTGTTTAGGTTTATATGCAAATATGGTGTTTATATAAGAGAATAGAATATCTTTGAACTCTGTTATCTGCACGGGCTCCTGGAACTGGTCTCCTCTGGGCATCTGGGAATAGTCATTCAGCAAAATAAATACATTTAGGAACCTGTCCAAACCAGAAAAAAGACTGGTCTGGATCAAAAGTGCCTTGCAACTATTTATTTCTTCATATCTGATTCTGATATGAGAAGCCCCTCTTGCCTTTGATTATTGCCTCTGCTGGTAGACCCATAGCAACTAGCTTTTGTAAGCTGGAGGGATGATGTTCACTCTTGTGTGTGGATGCTTTTATATGGACCATCATTTCCAGAAAGGCGGGAAATGATCACATTATTACTAATGGTAAGAATCAGACCCGGAAAAATTAATTAACTTATCCATTAGGTCACAGTAAAGAAGCAGTGGAGTCTTGTGTCATTCACCCTGTGTCACCTGCCAGGACTAGCAGGGCTTGGTGCAGAATGGAAACACATGTTTCATTATTAAAAAGTAGTTAAGAATATCAACATGGTAGCATCAAAACATTCAAGCAAGCACAGGACTATGGAAGGTCTCTTAGGGTTTACAGCTGTCAGGGAAATAATACGGGCAAGAGAAGAATGAATCTCAGTTCAGTCTGATTTAGGTAGCTGTTGCTAGTCCAAGACTTCAAGAGTCTGACGCCAGATCATTTTCTTTAGCCGTATTTAAGCACAGAACAATTTTGGAAAGATGTTTTCTGATAACAGTTAACTCAGTCCCAAGTAAGCAATAAATTTAAGATGTGTTTACCTTGAGATTCTTTCAACGTAGATGTTGCTTTTTTTCCACAAAGACAACACCAGATTGTAAACTGCCATTCCAAGCATTCTAGGAAGAACAGCTATATACCTCATTCCACTGAAGAGATGTTATGTGTTTAGCTTTTCCTGATTTCCCCAGTGCTTATCCATGTGCACAAAGACTCTTTTGCCCTCAACACAGGACCTTTCTGAGTGTGAGGTACTGTTTGACTTGCACAGCTCCTGCATGCAATAGAACATTCTGGTGTAGACAGGTGGCTTCCACAGTCATGGTGTTGCAAAGATCTAATCTGGGCACCTAAGAAGCATGTGGAAAGTTCTTTGTGTCTCAGGATCACGTCTTTAAACACTTGCTTTTTCCTTAAGGACTTTGAGATGTTTTCTACTCAGGGGTGATCAGAACCAAGACCCATCTGGTCCTCTGCTACAAAAACCTCGTTATTTCTCCGTGTTCCTGTTCAGCTGGCCATCCTTTGCTTAGAGTCAGAAGCGCTGGTTGGTAGAGGGCCTTCCAGACTGCCTTTGCTCTCCCTATGTCTACTTCCAGTGTGCTAGTTTAGTTTTTTTTTTTTTTTCGAGCACCAGGTGAACTGCTCTATTTCTCAGCCTCAATGGTATTTTGCTGCCTAAGAAGCACTGCATTTACCACCCAGCCGGCATGATCATGGATCCACTTAAGTCATTGATCTAATGCATCTCAAGGTACAAACACGCACACGCGCGCGTGCGCGCGCGCACACACACACACACACACACATACACACACACATTGTGTCAACTGTATACATTAATACATTCATACATACATACATACATACATGCATACATGCATATTTGAATTTTGAATTTTGCTTTATTAACACCCTTACTGGAGAACTTCGATTTTATTTTACTCTGCTATTCTAATCTGCGAAATATTGGCCAGTTCTACTACTGCTACCACCCAATACTCTTCTGGTTCACATTTTCCTTGGATGTTTTCAATACCCTAAGTCTTGGAGAGAGTCCATGGGTCTAAGGACAGTGGGGGTGTTATGAGGTAGATATGAAACCTTCTTGCTTTTCGCTGGTGCTTCTAGGGACACCTGCATCCTCTGTGAGTACACTCAGGACATGTGTAGAGCTTGTCTGGATGAATAAATGCACACTCAGCAGGGTCAGGGCTTCAGATTGCCTACCTCTGCAATATCTTTCTGAGACGGACTAAAAGAAAACCTGTATTCCCCAAAATGAGGCTGTCACGAGACAGCCAAGCTAAAATTGTTAGTGTCTCTTCAAGTTTCTAGAATGTTTCCAAGGCTCACCTCCAGCCCCTATGATGTGAGGCTGCAGGGGCATGCTCGTTCTCTTTCTAACAGAGTAAGTCCGTGAAAATCAGACTAATCTAGGTGAGTTTGCTTGGCAAGATCGTTTTCTGTAAGCTCCTAAAAGCATTAGAGAAGAAGTCCCAGGAGCTTTGTTGCACATTTAAATCAACATGATAGTGAGCAAAAGAAAATAAGATTAGGAAGTCTTGCCTGCACACTCATCTAAGAAATGGAAAGGGAAGTTTAAATAAGTTGTGGTAAGAGGTTTGAATGATTCTGAACAGAAAATTGTTAAGGAAAACAGCCAAGTGACTCATCCCAAGCAGGGTCTAACAGCGAGCTCTGCAGGCCCATGGGAGCATGAATGACGGACAACCAAGAACTGTCTGAATTGGGGAGAACGTTAATTGGCTGTTTTAAGTGTGTAATGCTAATTGTCAAGAAAATGAATATCAATGACATCTTATGTAAATTGTACTAATATTATAAGCCCCATTTGTGTGGAATTAGGCTGTCTTAGTTAGGGTTTCTATTGCTGTGAAGAGACACCAGGGCCACGACAACTCTTACAAAGGATAACATCTAATTGGGGCTGGCTTACAGCTTCAGAGGTTTAGTCCATTATCATCATAGCAGGAAGCATGGCCTGCAGGCAGCCGGTGCTGGAGAAGGAGCTGAGAGTTCTATATCTGGATCCTTGGGCAGGAGGAAGAGACTTGCCATAATGCGCCTAGCTTGGTGAGACTTCCCAGCCTCTTCCCAGGGATATGTCTCCTCTGACAAGGCCTCACCTCTTCATGGTGCCACTCCCTATGAGCATATGGGGGTTATTTTCTTCCAAACCACTATAAAGTCTAATACTCATGAGACTTGAATTACTTACGTAATGGCAAGCCTCTTAAGAATGCAGATGTTCATATTTTCAAACAACTATACTCTGTGAAACTCATTTTAATTGGCCTGACTATAGACGGAATCTTTCGTGTTCAAACATAGATTCCATCCACAAACATTTATTTGGCTCTGATTGTTCTGGGTGCAAGGGTAGTGGGTGGAGATACAAGAGCTGGGGATTGTGTGCCATTTCTAATAAAGAGAGCTGGGCACAACTAGACTTCACTGTCAATAAGGGAAAGAGACACAGAGGCTTTGCTTACTCATCAGGTTTCCTGGGCTAGGGAAAGGCGAGCCTTTGTCCCATCTGAGTATGTAGTAGACCATATTTCTTTTTTAATGTTCAACACCTATTGCTCTATGAGAGCAGATGTTGAACACAGTGAGACCAGGCAAAGGGGATACCTGTGGGATGATACTATAAGAAGGGGCTTTTGTCTACAGAGGCAAAGGTGAAAATTTTTGTGTCCATGATGTGTGCTATTTCTTAAGAGAAAAGTATCATTTCCATTAGAAACGCAATTCAGGCTGACCACACATTTCTTAAGTATATTAAGTTCTCGGAAACATGGAGACTATTTATATAGAGAAAAGCCAGGGGGCACTGCTTTGAAATGTAAAGGGCTTTGGAGAACATGAATTCTGAGGATTATTTGGTCAATGCTTTACTTTCTCTGCCACCTCACTGCTTTCCCTCTTTTTCTCTCCACTCTTTCTCCCCAGGGTATGGGAATGTTTCTCCAAGCACTGAAGGAGGCAAAATCTTTTGTATTTTATATGCCATCTTTGGGATTCCGCTCTTTGGTTTCTTATTGGCTGGAATTGGAGACCAACTTGGAACCATCTTTGGCAAAAGCATTGCAAGAGTGGAAAAGGTTTTCCGAGTGAGTACTGCACCAATTTAAACCCTCATTACCAGATTCGTTGGCTTTGGCCTAATACAGTTTAGAAGCGGCAGCAAGGGCTCTGTCCAAATGAAAGAGTTGGATGCTACGACCGCGTTTTATCTTTTGGCCAATGGTAGAAAGAGGACTGTACCTAAATGTCTTTTTCTGGAATAACTTCCTGCCTTGTGGTGGGTGGTATAAGTACTTGTGGTGGTATGTGAGTACAAAATCGAAGAAGGTTAAGTGTGGGCTATCAACATAGGTATCCCCAACAGAGGTGAGGCACACTCAACGCCTTAGTCTGTTTAAGTTGCTCTGATGAAAAGCCCGAGGCTGGAAGGCACATAAACAGCAGAAACTTACTCCCCATAGGTTGGAGACTGGATGTATAAGATTAGGTGCAGGTGCCTGGTGAGAGGCTGCGCTCCCTTTTCAAGGTGCAATTGTCGCTGTGACCTCTAGAGAGGAAGCACTAGGACCTCATGTGGTGGATGGGTGGAAAGTAAAAGGGGTTTGACACTGGAGGATGGCTCTTTCATAAGGGCTATGACTTCATTGGTGGAGGAGCCCTCATGACTTAAGCCCTTTGAAGGCCTCACCTTTAAAGATCACATTAGCCAACACCTGTCATATTTGAACCATAGCTTAGCGCCCCTTAAAGATGCAAGGTGGCAAGCAGGCTGAATGATACTGTGGGGATCCCAAAAGTTGAGTTAAATCTGTAGAACCTACATAGTCATAAGAGAGCTGACCCTTACAAATTATCTCTTGACTTCCACCTATGGGTTATGTTTATATATGCATGTGTATGCGTGCATGCACATACAAACACTTAACAAATGAAAAAGATGGAAGATGATTTCTTTGCTGTTTTTAAAACGATGTAGAGAAATACAAACCCATTGTTTCATTGTTAGAATCCCTTCACTTGTTTAACTCGTGCAGTGTCTCCAGGGCATCCTGGATTCTGAACTTCTCTGTCCTCTGTTCTGTGCTTTGTATCTCTTGCTTCATGGCTCCTCCTCGTTCTGCCTCTCGGTGCTGAACATTCTCTCAACAACAGGACACCAAATCTCTCCTTTATGCTAAGGTGTGGAACATTGCTATTATTTTAGTACCTATTTTCCTCTTCAGAACATTGACTTGAGGAGTTTATTTGCTAATGATGATAAGTTTGACCTCTGTAGCAAGAGTGTATGACAGATGTGAGGGGGTCTAAGGTTGCCAATGCCCTTTAACTCATCCCTGGTCATTTGACTTCATAAAACTTGTGGTTAGCTTAGCCATTTCTGTGCTCTTACTTAATTTTGATGTCATTCTCACATCTTTCTGTCCTTCATCAGATGCATAGCTGGGTCATAGTCACATTCAAAAACCCAACAGTCCTGTGAAGTTGCCTCTATTTCTTTATCAGCAAAAGGCGACAGAGCCCAGAACAACTTTAGAAAGCTTTGGTGATGGTTAAATGGAATAAGGGGTTGGCAGGAACTTGGCCCAGGACCAGAAACTGAGCTCAGAGCTGCTGTCCCTTCTGAGAGGAGAGCTTGCTGGCAGGCTAGCCACTCACTCAGATTTGTGTATATGCGAATTTTTCTGGAATGTCCCACAGCCTTTGCTCCCTGGGTGCTGGCTGAATAGCCAGCCTCATTAGAATGTGCACCTGTCTCTTCAGCGGTCACCATGGAAACCATGGTGCTCAGTTTCTCAAATGTTTAGGTCTTCTTAACTCCAGACACAGAGAGTTTGTCTGCAAAGGGCTGTTTTGAACTCTTCGGAGGTGATTCTTAGCCATCGGCACAGCCCTTTGAGTTAGGGAAAAATAGATGCAGTGGCTGAACACTCAGAAGAAACAGGAACGTTCTTAGAGCATTCCCATGGAGAAACTACGGATTTGGCATTTCCCCTTTTTGTTGTGGCTCCTGTTGGTTTCAGTTTCCTTGGTCAGAGAAGAAAGGATTAGATTGTAGCTTTTAAATCCCCCTGAGCAGATTTAGTTATTGTATTCTACAGGAGGCGAGAGATTGCCATCATTTTACTGCTTAGACTACCAGTGGGAGCATGCTATTCTCTTTTGAGTTGTTTCCAGAAGGCCCTTCAGTAGACTCTGGTCAAGCCTGAGCCTTTCCACATTTCACTTTTATGCTGATGGCCCATTCAGGTTCTTGCAGCATTGGCAAAGACAGAAAGTTATTCAGGAAGGTGAGCAGACATGTCTTACATCAACAAGGCCAAAGTCAAATTACTTTTCCTGGGGTGGGTACTCTTTCTATTCAACTTAGATGGAGAAAGTAATTTCAAACCAAAGCAATAATTCCATCTAAGCCTAGCTGAGTTTGGGGTTGCTTACAGGAGCGTGCACGAAGGGTTACTTACAGAAGCGTGAGTGACTCAGGCAGCTGCATTACTAAAACCTCTAAGGGTGACAACTTACAAAAGCTGCACAGTGGAGCTCCCTGTGCAGTTTGTGGATAGCTAGACTACCAATGAGTCTCCTTCTCAGGGGTTGCTTACTGATTATTAAACCTCAACAGGGTCCTCACAAATACTGGGAATTTCATGAGTTGCGATCCTCTCTGCATCCCCCACAAGCTAATGTTTCCATCTGGAGGAAATAGCTACAAACATGGTTCTTTGTGGATGTAGGACAAAAAACCCTGTTTCCTTGATGGTTTATAAGTAGGAGCCTTTAGTTGTTTTTTTTTTTTTGTATGTGTGTGTGTGTTGTGAAGAGGCACCATGACCACAGCAACTCTTATAAAGAAAACATTTAATTGGGGTGGGTTAATTACAATTTCAGAGGTTCCGTCCATTATCATCATGGCAGGGAGCATGGCAGCATGAGGGCATATGTGGTGTTGGTTACATCTTGATATGCAGGCCACAAGAAGTCTACTGAGATGCTCAGCTGTATCCTGAGCATAGGAAACCTCAAAGCCTTCCCCCACAATGACACACTTTCTCTAAGAAGACCATTCCCACTCCAAGAAAGCCACACCTCCTAGTAGTGCCACTCCCTATGAGATTGTGAGGCCAATTACATTCATACTACCACATCTCACTCCCTGGCCCCCATAAATTTGTAATGGTATCATCATGCAAAATACATTTAGTCCATTTCAAAAGTCCCCTTAGTCTATCACATTCTCAACAAAGTACAAAGTTCAAAGCCTTTTCTTTTACTTTATAAAGTAAAAATAAAAAAAGAAAATCACATATTTTTAATATATAAAGGCACAGGATATACATTACCATTCCAAACCACAGGGAAGGGATCATAGTGGGAAATACTGGACCAAAGCAAGACCTAAAACCAGCTGTGCAAACTCTAAACTCTGCATCTCCATATCTGATGCCAAAACGCTCTTCAAATCTCCAACTCCATTCAGCTTTGTTGACCGGAGCACACTTCTTTCTCCTTGGCAGTTTCTGCTCCCAGTTAGTGGCTCTCCCTGGCAGGTATCCCACAGCACTGGCGTCTCTCACATTTTAGGTCCTCCAAGATTCAATTTCACAGTTTCACTCAAAGACTTCTCCGGGCCTCTTTTCAGGGACACCCCTGGCACATGCCTGGCCTCAGTGACTTTCTTTGGGCAATGGAGGCAAATTTCATAACTCCATTCTTCTGTGCTTAACTCTAAAGTCAGAACCACGTGGCCAAAGCTGCCAAGTTCTGCTGCTTCCTGGGGCTGGAACATGGCCCCCTCATTCAGTTACATCTTTACCAGCTTTCTGTCCTTCACCGTCTAAGCTTGGCTGCGATGAAATGCTCTGTGGACTAGGCTTGCCTCAAACTCAGAGATTTACCAGCCCCATCTTCCCAGTGCTGGAATTAAAGGTGTACCCCACCATACCCAGCTCTAAGCTTTTCTCTAGTTCCTTTTCACAAGTTGAAAACGTAGCTGGGTGGGATCTTGCCCTGAGATCACCATTCCCTTTTTTTTTATTTCTTAATCTGTTCATCTCCTTGAACACAGGAGTTAGCTTTATTCCACTTCCTGGTGCTCGTTCCTCCTCAAAATTGTCATTTTGTAATTTACCCTGCTCAGCTTGCTCCTCTTCATTATAAATTTTCATTAGAGTTACCACTAAAAGCCACATGACAGTCTATAATAGGCTGTTTCGAGATTTCCACTGCCATTTGAACTAATCCAAAACTTAATCCAAAATTCTTCGCTTTAGCCTCAGGCAGACTCTTCAGATAAGGACAAAAGGAAGCCACTTTCTTCACCAAAATATTGCAAGAAAAATCTCTAGGCCATATACTAAATTTTTTCTCTGAAACTTCTTGAGTGAGCCTCCAAAAGTTCAAATAACTTAGCACCTCTGTCTTCCATGTTCCTACTAGTATGGTCTATTAAGTAGCACTTAAAGCATTCCACTGCTTTTATAAGCCAAGGTACCAAAGTCCAATTTCCTCCAAACAAAAACATGGTCAGGTCTATCACAGCAATACCCCAGTCTCTGGTACCAACCTGTTTTAGTTAGGGTTTTTATTGTTATGAAGAGACACCATGATCACAACAACTCTTATTAAGAAAACATTTAATTGGGGTGGCTCGATTATGATTTCAGAGGTTCAGTCCATTATTCTCATAGCAAGAAGCATGATGGCATGCAGGCAGATGTGGTGTTGGTTACATCTTGATATGCAGGCCACAGGAAGTCTACTGCGACACTTGGCATAGGAAACATTAAAGCCTGACCCACAGTGATACACTTCCTCCAACAAGGCTATACGTATTCCAACAAAGCCACACCTCCTAATAGTGCCACTCCCTGTGAAATTATGGGGGCCAATTACATTTAAGCTATCACAGAGCCATTTTCTCAGTTTTGCCCAAATGCTTTATTACATGCCCCCCCCCAGCTTTATTACATGCCCCCCCCCCAGCTTCAAAACCAAGGATGCTCTGGATCCTCCTCATACTTTGGATAGCCCTGACTTCCACTCTGGCTCAGCTGGGGGAACGGTCTCTGCTTTTGAAGACTCAGAGATT